TCCTGCCCTGAAAACAGCAGCATTAGATAACATGAAAAAATATGTATAATTCATACCAGATATTGCTGATTTCTGTCATGAGGAGATTTGTCCAGTTGCTATAAAGTAGATATTTGCTCGGAAGCTATCTTAGACATCGTTTGGTTTTGCTGTTCATTTTATGCGATAATAATATGAGAAAAAAATGTTTGGTTGCATGCTGAATGAAAAGACAGTTGGGCTACGGGATATAGGTGCCTCACCCTGACCACCCTGTTATGGAAAAAAAAAAAATTAAATAGAAATATTTTTTAAAAGTACAGCACAAAATTAAGAAACTATGTGGAGATAAGTTTTTCCATGTTATTGAGGTTCTGTGAGTGTATAACAACACGTCCACATTTTGTCAAGATATCAGAAAATCTGTGGACTAAGCAATTGCAGCGCTGCTGAATGGAGAATTCAGCAATTCAAGGGTCCCAGGGCAAAAACTGAAACACATCAAAAGTTGACACTATGCCTTTATGCACATTCGGAAGTACGTTAATCTGAGTGTATTTGCTGCTGTCTCTCTCGTCTCAACAGGCTGCTTCTGCCTTAGCTGAAGCCACAGCTTCACTCGCTCCACAGAGAATTCAAACTCTCTCCTCCCTGGTTTCGGTCCAGCCATAAGCCGCATCACTTTTCACACAGTACAGCTGAAAATAAAAATCAAGCTGGGAGATGTTGCAGAGCAATCCAAAATCTAGCAGATTTCACTGTCGACTTTTTGATTGTGTATCAATTCAGGAAATGATTCCCGCTGAAGATTGCACTTAAGCATATTTGAACATGTGCTTAATTTTAGGCATTTGTCCAGGAGATTTTAAACATCAATATCTTGCTCTCTGATTGAATAATTTTTTTTAATAGACTTCACAGTATTACCATGGGAGGCAAACACCTCCATTCTGCACCAGCAGTCAACATACTCCTAGCTCACTCTCCAGGTAGAATTATGTACTACCATGACACTGGAAAATACTGATGATATAGCACAAGGGAGAAATATTTACCATCAACACTGTTCTCTTCAGCAGTATCTTTTTACTGACCTCTGATTCTGTCAAAGCAGCATGCAGGGCATTGCGTTGTAAATTTAGAAGGAGGGATTCAGTAAAGTCAAACCTTTAACTCATTGTCTGACGATGACCAGGATACTTAAAAGTCTCCTGGCTTAAAATTAATGGGGTTTTCTGTTTTAAAGTGATTTAAAAATTATAAATGGAAAATTACATGCAGGGACAAAGTAGTAATGGTTTATTCATTACATCTGTTTTGACATCTGATAGCCAAGACACCAGAATGAGCAAATGCTTCAGATTTGCTTGTGATCAATGAATGTCTTCCCAGCCCAGCAGAAAAAAACCCACATTGTTATCATTACCTGATATTTTTACAATGCATGAAGTGTACTTGCACTTAAAAGCTGATGCTTTTTATTGTAACACAATAAATTCACCTGCACAGAAGCGAGTAAGTCTTTGGCAGGTATGAATAATAATCTTAAAACCATTTAGACTAGGTGTAAATCTCGTAGCTATATGCCTGATGTTTGTTTCCTCATTAGCAGAGATGATTTGAAAGGCAGATGTTCTTCTTCTTGAAAATCTGAGATACACCTCTAAACTCCCATATTGTTTGTACCTACAGATGAAATTAGAACTTCCTCCTATTGTCTTTGTCGTATGTCCCATCGTCCCTAACTGACGCATATTGTATAGTCTACTCTTTTCAAAGACGGCTATGGCGTTTTCAAGATGAAACTGTTTCTAAAACTAAAAAATGGCCAAAATCCAAAGATTATTATCACCTCATCCATTCCTTGCAATGTTGCATGAGAGAATTTTCCTTATCACAGGCATACTTTCGGTGGTCTTTTCTTTGATTTCACACTAGCAAGAGGTGTTATTATGGCACTTTGTTGTGATTGAGACTAACTTGTAAATTTTCTTTAAAATAATTTTTAAAAAAGGGAATTGTGATTCAATGGCTATGACTTGATTTGAATGATTTAAGTATCATTAGGGCTGGAAATCTTATAAATTCTATATTACATTCTGAGCTTTGGGATGAATACAGGGAATATCCTAGCTTTTTACTTAAGAAATCAATTTTTTAACAGAGCTTGTAAAGCAATGTTGAAGAGGAATTTCTCGCTGTCTCTACTCTAACCACATCAATTTAACTCTTAATTACAAATGAAATCTTTTCTTTTTTAAAATAATTATGCTAATCACCAGCACATGAATAATTGGATGTGTAGAAGATTTTAGAAGTAAAATGAGAAGGCCAGATGTATGTAGAATAGCTAAGTTTTAATTGATGATTATTCAGGCATTATCTCTACCTTTGTAACAATACCAAAATAAGGACATAGCCAAAACAATTGAGAATGATGTATTTTATACTGAAGGGAAATAGTTTTTTTATGAACCATCGAATTAATCTGTGGAGTTTATTGCCATAGCTGTCCCAGAATATAGTACACTGTTTTTTCTCAAAATGAGATTAAACATTTATTTACATATAAAATAATGTTTGCAATTACATTATATCTGCAGGATGAAAATGATCACAGTTGCAACCTTTATTTTTTAGGTCATCAACAAATCACTGATTCAGTAATTCTAAGAGTTATGGGAGAGAGAAATTGGTTTGGGGAGATATTACTCCATAATTATCAATAATGCAATTTCATGGACTTTTCCCTTTGATGTCATAAAATAGAAGAAGAGACCAGACAGCAATATTATAAGTGTGTGCACCTGGAGTATTTTTTTTCTTTTCTTCTTCTTTTCATGGACAATATACTGTATAGATTATATCGTCTTCGGTTTGTGATTACATTCCAAGTATTGATGATAGGAAAAATAAATACATCCATTTGTGAGAACATGTTGTCTGAGTACTGGAATAGGTTGCCTGGTAGGTTATGAAGTCTACCTCCATAGAGATACTCAAAAACCATCTAGACATGGTCCTGGGCAACAGGCTTTAGGTGGCCCTGCTTGGGCTGGGGGGTTGGACAAGGTGACCTCCAGAGATTCCTTCCAATGTCAACCATGCTGTGGTTCTGTAATTCTGTAAGACAAGTGGTCCAGTAGTTCTAATTTTTAAAGTTCTAACTAGTGGTGACAATGGCTTCTTTTCTCCTCTACAGCTATTTTCTTTAGTTTAGCCATAACAGACCCTTGCTTGCACAGGTTTAGTTGATATATACACTTTTTTTTTTTTTTGCCATGCAAAAAATCACCTTGGAAGGACTCCAAAATGTAGAGCTGTATTTATGGTTGACTAAGCATTTTTTTGTTTGTTTGTTTGTTTGTTTTTCTCCAAGATATGGAGACGTTAAGTCTAATGAAAAGAAGCAATTGTATTTAAATTGAATTGTATTCTCCACTCCTAATTTAATTGTATTCTTTACTCCTTTTCAGGGTGCGCAATGATTTCGATGTGCTTACAAACCGACTGATTGGCAGCCATGGCTATTGTACTCAGGTAAGTTAAGCATGCGGTCTTGGGGGTGTCATACGTCTCTGCATGCAGAGCTGTGAACTGACCTCTGGGAAGAGGTGGCATTTCTTATTTTAAGTTCCTTGTGTTTTTTTCTTTTTCCTCATAATGCCAACCACCTTCATCCTTTATTCTTTTTTCCTTATGTTTTGGCATGTTGTTTTCTTTGCTTTCAGAGCCTCTGCTTTTTGGCCTGGTTTTCTGGTCCGCCTGTGTCTGTACCCATGTGTATATGTGCACATACTCCTCTCATCTGCCTCTTTGGAACTCCTTAGTTGATTTTAGTCCTGAGATATCACTGAGACTGCAAGCTGAGTTTCCTCCCTGACGTTTCAGAAAGGTGACTGAGGTTGCATGACCGATGGTACAGCTCGTCTCTAAATGCTCACTGCTTGGCTAACTGAGGTGGTCACTGCTTGGCTAACTGAGGTGGTCCTGACTGAAGCTGGCACCTCAAATTGGAGACACTGACTTATTATACACCTGTCTAAAAGATGTGTGGTGTTTGAAAATAAGCAGTCTGAATCGCAGCCTGACACTTAGGACCACAGTTGTATGTCGTCTGTATTCCAACTCATGTCCTGTGCCAAACGTCTCCCGCTGGCTGTAGGCCTGCAGAGGCATCCACTTGGTTGGAAAGGATTTACCTTGGACACGTGGGTGAAATGTAGGTCCCAAATTTCTGGGACACAGATTCCCCCAAAGCTGGGTCATAGGCAGTTGTGTGGTCTGATTATGGTCCATAGCTATTAAATGTACTGCTGTTTTGGCTGCAAAGGGCAAGTTTCATGTTCTTCCCTTGTACTGTTGCTAGAAGACTTTTATACTGTGGTTACATGGTGATTCTTCAGGAAGGTGGTGGAACATCACTGGTGGATTAGAAGTCCTAAAAATATCAGTAAGAACCTGTAAGCTTTGGGGAGTCCTTCAGGAGAAACATGAGGCTATAAACATGTGCAGTATTTTTAAAATCATACATCAAGTCCAACTGGCATTGCCTGTGCTATTCATGTCTTCGGGCATGGTAATTTAGACTATTTTTTCTGGAAACTTTCTTCTTGTTATTTCCCCTCATGTTTCTTGACATATGTTATTTATTAATAGTTAGCGGGTTCATTGCTGTAGCACAGTCTGCTGCTAGGTATTGTTACATGCTGTTACGTCCTAGCTGGCCCTTGTGGGATGTTATGCTAAGCAAAATGTGTAGTGTCTCTGTTTCTTGAATGTTACGCACACTCACATGCACGCATGCACTCAGGCCCACCCTCTCACATGTATTCAACCTCTGACACACTCATACCTCTAGTTCGATCGGAGAGGAAATAATCAACAATCTGCTATAGTAAGTATGAGTACATTTATGATATGGACCAGATGTGAAGCCATATGGGTGAATGTCTTGCTGAATGAGCCTTAAGTTCATCCAGAAATAATCAGTGAGAAAAAAATACCTTGTAACAAGTCTTGTCCGACATACAACATACATCACTAAGCACATGCAGAAATATCAGATAGTACTGTACAGGCCTTTAATTTATATCATTCATGCTGCAGCTTTCATTGTAGAGAAGAAGGGATACCAAAATGTTTTTGCTTGAAAAAAACCCAACACTAATGTGAGAAGGTTGAGAGGAGGATGTCAGAGTAAATTGATTATCAGCAGTTTGCCTCTGGAAAGATGAACGTTGAAAACTCCACTAACATTGTGTCATTTTACTTTGGAACAGAAATTCCCCAAAATACCTGGAAAAAAATTAGTAAGCAATACTAATCCTAACCCTAAATTTAAAGCCACCACATAAATTAAGGGTCTGGTACATGTGTAACTATCAATCCTGAATCAATCTTGTACTGATGTCTGGTAGAGACAATACATTTAACTACTGTTTTGTGGGTTTTTTTATAAATATGTCACAAACAGGAATTGGTGAATTTGCTTTTGACTGGCAAAGCCGTGTCCAATGTTTTCAACAACGTGATAGAGCTGGACTCTGGAAATGGGAATATCACAATTTTGAAAGGTGTCACAAGCCGCAGTGATATTGGTTTGCTGTCTCTCTTCGAGCACTATGATGTTTGTCAGGTATGTTTTCCATTATTCTGATTTGAATTAAAAAGGAAAGAAATTTAAAATTGCCTTAGAGTGAGTATAGCAGCTAAGAAATTATGGGCTGCATTCAGTTGCTCACTCACAGGCACGTAGTGCTGTTTTAGACGCACCGAGGCAGAGCGTGGTCTCCCTTCTTCATGCAGGTTCCGTGTGACAGATGCCACCCCTTGGGAAATGACTTGGGTAGTCTACAGCATCTCAAATCTTGCATGCCTGTGTCGTTTTCTAACCGATCTCCTGAAGCGGGAGTCAGCTTACAGACTGACACACTTCTATTTAAGTAGCTACCGCATAGATCTGTATACATGAACTAGGACCCGCTCAGTGCAGTCTGTGGAGTTGAACACTGCTCAGCTGACATAATGGTGTAGTCTAGGTTGAGCTGAACAAGTTCCCCTCACAGTATTCACTAGATCTCCACTGATTATAGTGGAGTTGAGACACCCAGCTCACATGTGGACACATATGTCTTAGTCATATATACATAAGCAACAGAATCTGAAGCTGAAATTCAATCGAAGTATTCAGTTTTCCTTGAGTTCCTATGTGATGGGATCGATTGAATCCTCTACTCCATGCTGTAATGGTGGTCATATTGTATTAGCAGTAAAGAAAATAATAGACAATAAAAATAGCTGTCAATATAATGGGAATGTTCCCTTGAAGATGTCTTTGAAATTAGTATTCTAATTGTAGTCATAATGAAAATTAAAAGATAGATTAAAAAATTCAGAGACATGACAGCCATTAATTTACCTCTGGAAAAACTTGTATAAGGATTTCAGTGGTTCTCCATCAACAGACATTGTCATCAAGATAGACATCTTTCCTAAAGACATGTTGTATCTTAAACAGACAATCTTGGGTTTGATGCAAGGATATTATTTGAAGTTCTCTTCCTTGTGTTAGATGCTAGATTAGATAATTGTGATGGTCCCATCTGGATTTGCAGTCAGCGCCTCTGTAAAAATTTGAGAGAGATTACCAAAGAGTTTGTTTGTACTGATCTAATATAAATGTGTGATTGAAAACAAAGCTTGGTTTTAACTGTTTCCCATATGGCTGAAGTCAGTTACATTTTCCTACTACTGACAAATTAGAATTTTTGTTATTTTTAATTAACGCAATCCTTTACATTGTTCACAAGATTATAATAAGGCTTAAATTCAGTCAAGGCAGCGTATCAGTGTATCCAAATCAGATTAATTCAGAAAAAAATGGATTAAAAATAAATTAGCTTCTCTGTCTAGTTCAAGCTCCTTCTCCTTTTCTATAAACAATGTAACATTTAAAACCTCAAAAAGTGGTTATGCACCACTGTAGCGTTTTTTCCATTCTCTAGTGAGGAAAATTACCTCTAAGCAGCAAAATGGTAAGTGAGGTCAGTGCAGGTAAAAGCTATTTCTTTCCCATCTGCCTTCTAAAAATAAAATAAAAAGTTACCCAGAGAATCAGACACTGTCTTCCACTTACTCTGCAAATTATACAGTGGAGGGGGTCTGTTTATTCTGCTACTGTGCTCTTGCATGGGGGCTGGACTCATGAGCAGTGATCTGTTTCCCAAGCCAGTGACTCTTAATCAGTTACAGAAAATCCAGTAGACGTTGTTTACTTTTTTTTTCAGCCTACGCTAGTTAGGCATCTGATGCAAATTGTCTTACTTTTTATTAAGAACATCTGCGAGTGCTCTGCGTTTCGGTTCGTACGTCTCGGTGCATGCTGCAATGCCTGCCTTAGGACTAGAACAAAAGTCAGATTCTGGTGGACTTTGGCCTCGAGTCTGGGGAGTCTTCACTGTGGCTTCAGCACGAGGGGCCAGATTCTGCTTTCTGTTACAAACATAGTAGTTTAGAACGATTTAGAAGAAAGAAATGTCACAGATAGTTTGCAGTAGTGGAACTGAGAATAGAATTTGCCTGTAAGTCTTTTGAACTGACTCTTTTCTTCCTCTCGTTGTTTCGGTAAGTAGATTCAGCATCCAATTACAGTGTGGCTGTGAGGATGGTAACTTAAACCAGTAATGGAAAAGGACCGTCATTTTTGGGGTTTTTTTTCTTCTTTTTTTTTTTTGTTTCCAAGAGTAAGAAAATCCTGAGCGTGATATATGGTGAATCATAGACATTAGAGTTGGAAAACTCCCTTTAGGTCATATCCAGCCAATATCTCAGGGGATAATTCAGGATATTTTTATGTCCTGTTATATAGTAGGCTTTCTTTTAAAAATCTGTATCCATGAAGTTCCTGCCTTTTTGTTCAGATGGCCATTTATTAGTTGATTTTAGTGAATATAACAGTGATCTTACCTTTTTTCTCACACATCTCTACTTTAAAATATGAGGAAGTGCAAATACAGGTTTGCAGGTACCTGCGAATGTGTAGATTTTAATATCTGCTGCACAGCTTGTGCTTTGGGTGTACTAATATTAAATCTGACTGTTCATTTACTTAGTTTCCTCTGATTATCATTCTTACTTCTAATCCAGCCTGCCCCCTAAACAATTCATCCCCATCCGCCAGACATTTGCAAGCTGATGTAACAGTTCCTCCCTTTTTCATCAGTACATCCTGTCCAAAGCTTATTTTTATTGCTCTACTCTAGGCTTCTTCCAACTTTTGAAAGAGACATGCAAGATTCCAGGCTAGATGCATTTAATCCACATAGAGAAAGATTTCTATACCATTTTATCTCCCTTGTCTAGTATGTGGAGTATTTGTATACAATCCACAATTTCCTTGGCATGTCTTCTGAGTTGCAAATATCATGAGGGCATAAGAACTGAATTAATCCTTGTGACAAACTTCAACAGTAGCAAATCAGAACAAAGGCATCAGTACCTTCTTCCCCAGTGATTCCCTGAAGAATCACTCTGTTGCTGATCCAGTAATCTCTTTCAGTGGATCACACCGAATGTGTTTATCTTTGCTGGTTGGAAAAATGAGTGCTGCGTGTAACTTGTCTGGAATTGTTGATATCTAATCATCACTTTTAGTCCCAACATATCACCATACTCAGTATATTTTTTGTAATGTAATTACTTGCTGCAAATTATTTCACAATGACAGATGGATTCACTCAATCTATTTCATATGCAAATGTTTAGTTTCATAGTGAGATTATGTATTTTGATGCAAAAAAACCCTAGAAGTCCAAATTTGATACTTCTCAGTGGACAAGTTACACATCTTTGGATTTATTTTCTTTGTGCTAAATCCATATTTAAGCTATATTAATTCCATCTGATCTTACACATTTAACTAAGAAGCCTAAATTAAGATTTTAGGTTTCCTGGGATTTCTTTTGAGCTCTTAAAGCAGCAGAAATATTTCCAAAAGCTGGTGAGCCCACATAAAATTGGTGCAGGTTTTCTTCTGTTTGCCGGGCTGCAGCATCCAGCAGTTCAGCCGTAGTCTCAGGGAAGCTGAGTCGTTTCAGGACCTCAGGGAAAGGGGTGAGGCACAGAAGTGGGCAGGGCCAATTATAGAATTTGTGAGTGAGAAAGTCCCTGCATTTGGGTCAGAGCCTTTGGCCTAAATGCCACATTAAAATTGCAGGTGAAAAAACTTTGAATGATGAAATGCTCTTTTCAAAACTTTCTGTGATGCTAAAAGTAGAAACAGGTGGAAACAGATGTTCCTTATATTTATACCAGATCACTTAAGAGACCTAACAGTGACAAAAGAGAAAAATAATGTACATTCCCATCTGAAGAATTTAAAAGATAGATACTACTGTTATTAGTAGCATTTATGTGTCATTTCCTATGAATAGATTTGTGCTTGGCAAATACATTTTAAAGAGGGGGTGACAGACAAACAAAAGTCAAATTGCTTATCCCAATAAGTCATCCAGTAAAGTAGTGGCTGAACTGGGAAGGGAGTACAGGCTTTCTGAATCTCTCATTCTAAAGTAAGTATGATACTGGCTGATGAATTTGGCCATCCTTCTGAAATGCTTTTTGAAACCACTTTAGGTATGTGCTGTTGTACACGAAGTAATGGAAGTATTCAAGGTTATTTGTCTCTTTTGAACCTTGACTCTGATTCTTCGTCTTCACTGATTCTCTCCTTCTTTTAACCTATCCTGCTATAGTAGTTGAACCTCCTCTCATCTGACCTCCCAAACTCACCCTACTTTGATTCTTGACAACGTCCAAGTCTCTGCCTCAGCTGTCAGCATTTCAAGAGACTGATGCGTTTTAGTTTTTGCATTTCTGAAAATGAAGAGAGAACGTGGCATTGACAAAGAAGTTATGGTCATTTTTCCTGTTCTTTTAAAAAGAGAGAGAAACATAAATAAACAGAATTTATTCATTAAAATTCCACAGATGGGAAATATTATCTGTGGTCCTTTTGATGAAACCAGCACACTCTGTGCTATAACAAGACCTACTTGAATTATTAAATTCAGCACACATGCTCTGACTTCTGGCACCTCACCTGTTTATTTGCCCTGTGGAACGTCCTTCCTATAACCTTCTTCGCTGGGAAATATGTCTGCTAAACAGGCGCCTTCCTCAGTCAGATGGACTGGATTCAAGCCAGGTCATTGGTGGGGTATAGAGGGGGAGGTTTAGAAAGAAGTTTTTAACAATCATCTCGTTTAAGAAACCATCAACAAAATAAGCATGTGCGAAATGGAAACCAATGGTTGGCTTTAATTTTCCGCTTATTTTTCAGTAATGGGTATGCGGCAGATACTGTGTCGCTCAGATGCATTCGGCAAGAGACCCTGCTATTTATGTAAGACATTTGTGAGCACCATTGTGGGCAAAGACATGTGATACATACAAGTTTGACTGAAACAAGGCTGACAAAGCATTGGCCATTTTAAAAGTGTTCATTCCTTGGTTTTACATCTTCCTTTCTAGCCTGGAACTGCATTTTTCTTTAATGAAGTTCTATTGTCCTCCTACTTATCCATGGACAGTTTTTTTCCCAGAGGCCAGTCCCTGTTGCTGGGATATTGGCATTGG